TGGAAGGAGGAGTGGCGTCCACTTCCATAATAGCTTGCCTCCGGAAACCCTGTGAACCTGGAGAGAGGATGAGAGACACCCAAGAGTTGAGGACTCTCCTTCATAGGGTCGCTATGAGTCGCCTGCAACTCGACAGCACTTAACAACAACAGGGACGGAACCTGTTGGTGTAGCTGAGGCAAGAATATCTGGATCCAAAGGATATGCTACATTTTCTTCTTTGCTGGCAAGGAAGATGTATCTCTGCTGTTGAATGCACTCACTATAATAGCAAGGCTACAATTTCTTTGTGGATAGGCTAACTGCCCATCTACATGGCAAAGTCAAATTCAGTGACCAGGAAAGCCATCTTGAATAATAAACTCCACAAAAGTTTTAGGCGCACTTTATGTTTCTGTGGTAGAGTCAAACAACAGCAGTCTCTAGAAAGGGACTTGGTGTCTGGGCATTTTGTCCTGTTGCCTCACAATTCACTCAGATGTGAATTTGGGTGAGTGGGCACTATGTTTTTTTCTGTGATACTCTCACAGAATTGAGAGTTATGTCTGCACTCTAGATGCCTTGAGTCCTCCCCAGACTTGCTCTTTATTCATTACATGTGGATGACCATGCGTGTCTGGGTGAGCATTCCTAGCACGGGTGGGAAATGAGAATGAGAATGGGTGAGAAAGGGACTCTGCCAAACCTGAAGCCTGGAAATAATCCTGAAATCGCCATTCTGTGCATTGGTTTCTTCCGTCATTTTTTTTTTAAATTTAATTTCTTTATTTTTTATTTCAATGAACATCTACAGAGATTTTGGAATTCCATTCATTCATTGTTGCACCCCTCTCCCCCCTAATTCTCCCCCCTTTCCACCTCTCCTTCAAACGCAAAAGAAAAACTCCCTCATTGGTACGTAATCCCCCACACACATCCCCCAACCCCCAAATATAATCCACTCTGCAACCCTTATTCCGTACTCTTACGATAAACATAATGCCCTAAAATATAAAACATTCTCTCCCCCAAAGACTTCAGTGCCGTAAACATATTTCATCCAGTTTTTCTCAGTCTTACCCCCATCCTGATGTCAGCCTCATTCTACAACAGTGGCACCATATAGCATTTGTCCCTCTGTGACTGAGATACCTCACTCAGCATAATGTCCTCCAGGGTCACCCATTTTGAATAATATTGTATGTGTTCCTTGTTTTTCAATGCATCATAATATTCCATTGTGTGAATATACCACAGCTTCTCTATCCATTTGTTGATGGGCATTTAGGTTGTTTCCAACTCCTTGCTATTGTAAACAAAGGCGCAATAAACATGAGTATGCTTATATCTACTTGGGTGCCATTTATGGTCTCTTTAGGGTATATTCCCAGTAGTGGAATTGCTGGGTCAAATGGTATCTCTATTTGCAACTTTTTGAGAAAGTGCCACATTGCTTTCCACAGTGGTTGCACCATTTTACACTCCCACCAACAGTGAATAAGGGTTCCAGTCTCTCCACAACCTCGCCAGCATTTGTTGCTTGCTATTCTGTTAAATTTTGCTAGTTTTACTGGGGTGAGATGATATCTCATAGTTGTCTTGATTTGCATCTCTCTCAGAGCTAGGGATTTTGAACATTTCTTCATGTGCTTGTTGGCCATCTGAATGTCTTCCTTGGTGAAGTGTCTGTTCATATCCTGTGCCCATTTTTCAATTGGATTATTCACCTTTATCTTGTTGTGGTGCTCAAGTATTTTATAAATTCTAGATAGAAGTCCCTTATCTGAATGTCATTACCAAATACTTTTCCCCAGTCTGTGGCTTCCCTTTTTACCCTGTTAGAGAAGTTTCTGGATGTGCATAGGGGTTTGATTCTTAGAAGGTCCCATTCATCTGTTTTATCTTCTCCTGGTTGTAAATTTTTCAGAATACTTGCATTTCTTCCATCTTAAACAAAAGCCTAAAATGCATAATTTCAGTGATTCCTTTAGGTTTTAAAGATTTACATTCCTAGATTTATTGAAAGTAAAATTTGAAACATTTTATGTGATCTAGTTTTTACAAACTTGAATTAGAATAAGTAAAAAGTAGATTGCATGATGTAAATAACCAACATAAAAGGTAAGAAGAAGGAATGAACAATAAAATGACTTTGACATCAGTGCAGAGAAAAGTTACTGGTTTATTTTATTTTTTGAATAGGTAAATAGGGTTCATTGTATTTTCTTGGAGACTTGACTGCTATTGGAAGGAGGGGAATTCTTAAAATAGGATATTCATGAACTGGTCCTTCTGTTCAGGCATCATTTATACATTTTCCAGTTTAGGATTTTATTTTTTATCGAAGAAAAACTAAGAGCATTAGAAATCTATTGTGATTATTTAGTCCATGGATGCGAACTAGCGTCTCCCTGGCCAAATACACCTCTCTTAGACTGGTAATAGCTCTCTGGAGCTACATTGGAGGAGAGGTGCTTAAATAGGTTTAACAAAAA